TTTGAAAACAAGCGTTTCTCAAATTTATCTTGAAATGTGTCATACATGTTGCTATGAAAAAACAATTTATGTGAACCTTTTTGGTAATAGTGTTTTCCTCAGAAACTTAAAAGTAAGTCAGTCAACTCCACTCGATTTTGTATTTTAAACAGTCATCTCTTCTCTGTAACTAAGTTTTGACTAAATTTACGCTTCTGGAGGCATTTTGCCGAAAATTAAGGCCAAATACGTTGTTCATCATAACAAAAATGTATAGCGCAAAAAAAAAACGGGAAAATCTCCACAAAAACCTTCACGTAGAACATAATGTTCCCAAAAATTTAGTCAAATAAAGCATAAACATTCGAAGAGCATAAACTAAAGTTTAAATGATGCCTAGCTCTCGCCTTGCAGACTCAACATTTTCAAAACCAGCACAATAATTCAAAAATTTGACAATAACATAAAGTTCACAAATGCCAAAAGCTAACTCATAGATTAGAAAAAGCCAATGACTGACCTCGCTTGTCGTCCTATCCAATCCTTCAATTACTTCTCGCTGTGCAGGTGCATCCATTAATCCAAATTGCTCACAAAGATCACCGTCAATAACGTTCTACAACCTCCAAAGATTACAAACGATACCTTACGGACAGAAAGCTTCTCACCTTGCAAGGATGGTAGTACGATCTAAATGCTAAATGGTCTCGTCCGCACAAAGGTGGGAAGTTGGCACGAACATGCATTTCGAGATTTTGGAAGAAGTCATACTCCTATAAGAAATTTATAGACAAGATTTGTATTTTATTTACCAGATGGGTGATTTCTGGCGTGATTTTTCAACACCAAGTTTTTGCTAAAACGGTCTTGCCACTCGCAAATTTTGGGACGTGTGCAATTAAGTTACCTTCTCAAAGACATGACAAGTGAATAAAATCAAGAAACTTATGAATGTTCGAAAAGTAAGCATTTTTAGATATTCATAGTGATGACAGATATTCGCTGAAAAAAAAAAGTTCCGGTGTCCAACAGAAATTCAGCCTCCACTCACACAATAAGACTTTCGGTTTTCAACTCTAATTCAATAATCTGCTGGCAAAGTGGATTGCAGCAAACGACTTTCGTCGCTTCGAAATTTTTGAATGCGAAATAAAGTTCCTAAATTCAGGGACAACTTCACGGACCGGAATACATACAATACCTGAATACCTGCATGTGAA